GAGCGTGAGCAGCAACCTGTTAGGTATTGGGGCAGAGGTTCTCCTGGAGCGTGCAGGGGAGCCATAGTGTAAGGTACGTCTGTGGCTTTACATGAGTGTTTATACTTAAATATTCCTGGGCTGTTGACTTGAGGGCATAGGAAAATGAATTTACTGCCAGCCGTTTTCATCTTCTGCATCCTCTTTCTGCGTCCAGTAGCCCAGAATGCTTTACCCATTTTGTTTGTTTTATGTTGCCTTTCATCTGACAGTTGTGTTATAAGGAAAAGTAGTATATTGCTAACCATATATTGAGTCTTTTTGCATGTCCATGAATGTGGCAAAGTTTAGTGGGAACTAGTTGCCTGCTGGACTGCAGAGGCATCGTAAAAGTGTCTTCCCCATTCTGACTGGTTGCTGCATGTACCCATATCTAAGGAAGAAAAAATGAAAAGTTGAAAGAAGAAAGGAAATTTCCAGGTACATTTTTCTTTCGATAACTGATGAGGTTGTGAAATGGAAGTACTTATTTTTAAAAAATAAGTTTGTACGTTGCGCTTACACGTTATTGTCATCTTCGTACTTCTTATATCTCTTAATCGTTAGCTGCAAGTTTGATGTGTATTTCATTAAACTAAGAAGAAAAGAATATGTATTCATTTATTGGCAATCGTTCATGAAAAATGTTTAAATCATATTTTTAGAGTATGTTTTAATATGAAATACTGTTCTTACTAAAAGGGCAAGAAATGTGTGTGGTACATATCAGTACTTATCAAGGTAACTGCTGCATATCAGTCTTCATTGAGAAACTTTCATCCTTAAAAACCTACTAGTATAAAATTTATTTATAAATCAACAAATAATAAAAGTGTCACTACACTTAACTTTCATGGCTGTCTGATCTAAATATAGAATTCATACCCATTCTCACCTCTTGTTTTGTTCCTTCCCAGTGCTTGTTGTCTCACTATTAATGGTATGCACTGCATATGTGACACTTTTCAAAAACTTCAATTTTCCACTGTAATTTTAGTCAATTGAATTGGCACTTTATTTTTTGTTTCACGATGTTGCAGTAGGTAAGTATAAAAATCAGGAAGCAAAACCACAAACAAAAACTAAAAGAAGTTATGATCTATCCTGGTTGTTTTTGGAATAGTTTTATGAGCAATTGTAAGCAAGATTAGCAAATCTTGCAGATACTGTGTCGAAATCTATGGCTTTAACGTGTTTTTCCAATGTAGTATTATATATTCTATAGCCTAAAGTTTTCTATAGCTCTTTGGGCATCCATATTCCTAATGCAATTCAGCAACTTCTGCAGTTTGCTTCCTGGTGGCAAACAGAAAATACATTCATGTCCCCCGAGCACCAGGGTCCCTTCTCTGTTTTGCACCCCTAGGGTTACAAAATGCTGTCCAAAACATTGATGTCTTCACTTTTTTTCTCTTCTCTCCTGCTTGTTGTTTTGCTTTTTATTCCTCAGTTTCTTTCCCTTCCACCCAAAACATTGTATTCATTTATTACAAGAATAATTACAATCCGGTTTGATAAGGAATAAATGGTACCATGGCATATATTTCCTTTTCCTGAACAAGGGAGTGGAAGGCACCCTGGATGATCCCACACCTTTTTCCACTGCCAGAGTCTTCACAGAACTTCTTTCTGGACTTGTGTAGAGTAGTTCATGTAGTGCAAAAAGGGAGGGAATCCCCAGATTCAGATTTGATTTTTCATCTGCTGTAGCTGTGCTCTTACTCCAGTGCCCAACTCTGTGCAAGTACACTCCGGGGTAAATCTGCGGTCTTGTTTGTTTATTTTTAATTATACAAACAGTAGAATATGCATCCTTACTAAAATATAGAAAAATCACAGACACGATACAACCAACTGTGTAACTATTTCTTCATTGTCTTTTAAATAAACTTTGTTTTCAAAAATGCAAACACCAAAACCCTAAAAGCAGAAATTCCCACACCCAGATAAGTGAAAATCAGGCTTTATATTGGAATAGACACAAAAATGTGGATATTTTTATATATCCATACAGTGATGGTGTATTATTTAGTTACTGTATATTCCAGCCTAGTGAATTACACTGGACAGGGTCACACTTCAGCATGTTTGCACAGTTTCTTAACCAGTTGGAATATGATACAAATGCATTTTTCATTTATTTTCATTCCTACATATTATGGTGCAAGCAATTATGAAGCTACTCATCTAAAATTAAACAGCAAACCATATGTGAGATGTTCTTTACTAACTGCTATTACCCAGAAAGCATTAAACACTGCAGGTCATTCTTCTTTGGGAGCAGGACCTGGTGCTACTGCAAAGTGAGGGTCTGGTCTTCATTTGCGTTGTGTAACCTGTTACACTGACTCTAATGCCCTCGGATGAGGGCGATGGAGAAACTGCATTGCATGTCATTTTTAAATACTCAGTTCTGTCTTCAGCCTTTTAAATATAGGGTCCTTCCAGAATGAACTCTCTTCAGTAATGTCTCTGTAATCTGCTTGTGTTTGCAGCATAATAAACATTTGCACTTTGCTGCTGGATGCTTGACATTCCGGAGTAACATTCTTTTAAATGCTACTAGCCTGTATGTTTGCAATACCAGTGCACACAGAAGATCAACAGTACAATATTTATCCCCATGCCATGTACACAGCAATAACTAAAACCAAAGTCAAGAATGCTACAGTCAAGTTTAGAGTTTCTGGCTTTGTGTATTTTAAACATGAAGGTTTTCTTACATGTTAATAAGATAGGTATTCCTACCGCTTCTTTCTTGTGTATGCATAGAAGAATAAAATCTCTGGTCTGCCTTTTCTGTAACTATATGCATATTAGAGGTGTACTTCTTTTAGAATGTGACAGCTTGGAGTCTTCCAAAAAAGGTGATGAGATGAGAAGCAGGAAAATTGGTATAACGGTTTTCTAGCAGTAGTGAAGTCACAGAATCACAGAATGGTTTGGGTTGGAAGGGACCTCAAAGATCATCCAGTTCCAACCCCCTGCCATGGGCAGGGACACCTTCCACTACACCAGGTTGCTCCAAGCCCCATCCAGCCTGGCCTTGAACACTGCCAGGGAGGGGGCAGCCACAGCTTCTCTGGGCAACCTGTGCCAGTGCCTCACCACCCTCACAGTAAATAATTTCTTCTTCATATCTAATCTAAATCTTCCCTCTTTCAGTTTGAAACCGTTACCCCTCATCGTGTCACTAAACTCCCTGATAAAGAGTCCCTCCCCACCTTTCCTGTAGGCCCCCTTTAAGCACTGACAGGTCGCTAAAAGGTCTCCCTGGAGCCTTCTCTTCTCCAGGCTGAACAACCCCAACTCTCTCAGCCTCTCCTCACAGGGGTGGTGCTCCAGCCCCCTGATCATCTTCATGGCCCTCCTCTGGACCCGCTCGAGCAGGTCCATGTCTGTCTTGTGCTGAGAGGCCCCAGAGCTGGACGCAGCACTGCAGGTGGGCTCTCACCAGAGCAGAGTAGAGGGAATGTTTCTTAACAGGGCATTTGCTAGCTAACAATATAATCTGTGTGACCTTGTATGTGCTATATGTATGTGGTTTCTCTGCATGTTCAAAGGTATTCATTAGGGAAAAAAAAAAAAAGAAAATATAATTATTGAAAGAACTAAGTATTTGTTTTAGGAATTACAAACTTAAAACAATTTGCTGAATATATATATTCAGCTTAACATTGTGGATATTGTAAATATATTTTTACTTCCTTGATATTCTAGACATGTTTCCTTATATTTTCCGTAAGTTAGGAGTCTTTAAATAAAAAAAAACAAAACTAAAAATCACTTACTCTTTTGTACCCTATACGGAAATAAAGCCACATGTTCTGTTTAAGACAAGGTAAATAATTGCACCTGAAAGTGCAGCTGGCAGTAGTGGGGTTTACTGGAAATGCTTTAGAGCTGCTGCTAAAATCTTTGTCTTGAAACTGAAGTGCAGTGTAAAGGATTCTGAAAGAGATCAGCTACATGGATTTCATGAAGTACAAGCTTACCACAGCTGCAAATCTGCTTGGGGATGCTGATGGTGCTGCAGCTTTCCCACTGACAAGGGAAAGACCACAGTACTTTGCTACAGGGATCTCTCCTCCGTTTCTTTCCTTTCCTTTTTGTGTTGTCCTCCAAATCACCGTCATCGTTGTCAGAACATGCTATCTGTCATGGATTAGTATAAGGAGGTCAAGCTGATAAGTAATGAAAAAAACTAAGCATGCTCTTAACTGCTCAACTGTAGCTACTGTAAGCTAAATTGTTGCTTTACCTGTGTACAGTAAATGTTTTAGCAATTATAAGAGCAAGTTATTATTGATAAAATACTGATCACTATCAGGATATGGACTTTGCTTTTCTTCTTAGGCTATTTTCATTTGTTTCTTCTGCACCCTTTTAATGGAATATGTAGGTCTCTTGAAAGGTAAGGTTGACAATTGCAAGTCTGGCCTGCATTACGTAACAGATTATTTGAAATGCAGTACTATTATTTTCTTTATACTAGTAAAGAAAATGGGTATATTTCATTTAACCAAATTCATTCTCCATTCATGTTCAAGGAATCAAAGAAATTAAGAAGCTTAACAGACTAACTTCACAGCACATCATAAGCTTGTTACTTTGGAGAACAAATAAATTATTTTTTTTATAACTTTACAACCCACTTTTTAATGCTTGCAGTTGCATCTAAATTGCTTCCAAGCCAAGGACAGAGGTCTTACCATTGAAAAGTCATGCACGATGGGGGGAAAACAAAAAGAAACCACAAAACCCCGTCCCTCCACTGAAGACATTCTCTGTTTAAACCATTCCTGCACCATGTATTCATGTCAACTGCATCATATTGATCCGTCTCTCCAATGTGATGTGGGTTTACTAAAGGATTATAGGGCTGCACACATGCTTTTTATAAACTCTGCATGCATGGCTGATTTTGTCTTAACATATAATGCATCTGTTAATTCCTTTTGTTTGTTTGTTTGTGTCTCCAGTGATGCAGAGGACCATAAACCTCTAAAAAAAGGAAGCCGGACACCTTCGGACAGAACTGTGAAAAAAGAAGACAGCGATGATAGTTTAGTTGACTATGGAGAAGGTGTAAATGGTCAGTTCAATGAGGATGGCTCCTTTATTGGACAATATAGTGGTAAAAAAGAGAAAGAACCTGCAGAAGGAAATGAAAGCTCTGAGGCTCCTTCTCCTGTAAATGCCATGAATTCCTTTGTGTAACCACCGAACTCGATCCCCTTGTATCTGCAGTTTGTTTAAAGCACTTGTGCATCCTCCTTCTCATACTATGAACATGCAGGTAACGGAGCTCCTCACCACAAGATGTTAATGCTATGGCAATATGCAGGTCAATACAGTTACACCGCATAATGACACATCAAGTGGTGCATTAGTATGAATCAAAGTACAAAATTCAAATTTTGTTCAAAACTTGGGTATTTTTACTTTTTTTTTTAAAAAGGAACTGACACAAACAATAACATGGACTTGTCATTTTGTTTCCTGTTGAAAATACAGTATAATGCATGGAAAAAAAAATGCTACACAATTCACAGATAATCTCGTGTACACTATAAAAACATGGTTTGACAATTTGTTATGCAGTCCTCAGCTGAATCCCTGGGTATGAATTCCGTTTTCATTGTCAGAGTGTTATAGTAGTATTATATAGAACTTCAATGTCTTTGTGGACATTGTTGTGAAATTGGTGACTTAATGTCTAGATATCATATGTCTTTTTGCAAGACAGTTAGGAACAGTATGTACAGTATATAATTGCTAAATGATTTAAGTATGACACTTGCATTTGCTGATGCTTAATGAGACCCTATTATCTGCTCTTTGCTCCTATTACTTTATAGCCTTTTTAATCTATCAAGTATTACAGCAGTACAGTGTTCTATTTTTACATCAAAACACATTGAATTGATTTTAGGGCATAAAAGATAACGCATTGCAATGCATTTTGGAATTTGTACAGTCAGTGAAAGAAAAACTTTAAAAATGAGAGAAAATATTCCAGAAAACACAGGGCAGAATACATTCAGTGCCTTTATACAATATGCATTCCATAAAGCGCTGTACTACTAAATCAGTTGGTGCAGTAAACTGTGATCAGCAGACTACTACCATTGCCAAATAAAGGAAAAATGTGTAGAAGAAAAAAAAAAGTGTTATGAAACTGTTGTGCTAAAACTGGAAGGTTTTAAATATTTTAAATTACACAAAGAAGAGTATGAATTTTTTTTCCTTTAGAAAGAAAATAAATGCTTTCTAGACAGTTACAGCACAACAGGTTTTCATGGCCTTAGAAGATTAAAAAAAACCACAACAAAACCAAAACGTAACCAGAATTAAATTATTTACTAACACAGCAAGGTATAGGCTCTTGTAAAATAAATTGTTAAAAAACCGAACCAGCCGACCACACCAGCGAGAGTGCATTTCCCTCTGTGTCCCGGCCTGATCCGTGTGGCAGCTTTGTAATTACCCACACCCTGAAGCAGTGTGGGGGTTACCGCTCGGCGCCACAGCATTCGGTCTGACAAGTGCTAATATGGTTCAGTGGTAAAGAATTACCCTTATCGGTTACAAAATTATTTTCTCACGTACTATATCAATCAAATGTTTACCTCCAAATATAAATTTTTATAACAACCTATGGTTGAAGGAATGCTCAGTTTCATTTGCCAATAAATTGGTTTTTCATAACTTGCATCAAGTTTAATTTTAAGTAAGCTTTTTATATGTAGATATTTTGTTGAATTTGTAAATACACTTAAAGCGTAGATGCTATATGCTTCTAGGTGTTACAGACAAATAAAACAAGGAAGCTTACGTTGTACTGTGTAAGAAGTACTATAGCCGATGGTGTGCATGGTGTTTTAAAGCATCTACTTAAATATATTTTTTTTTTTTGCTGTGAAAACAAAATAGTGAACTGTTCTGCAGATTCCTAATTGAACCAGTCAGAGCTTTTGCCAGCGCGTTACGTCAGACCATAGTACACCTCGCAGCTTTCATGTATATATTGTAGGTAAAGCACAACTGAAGTAATCCCAGCTGCAAGCTAGCTGTAATAAGCTTCTTCCGCACCTTTGAGCTTTCCATTGATCAGTTTTCTTAATGGGAACCGAAAAAAGAAATTAATTCTACAAACAGTGATTACAAAGCACAAAGAGAACATTTCTTAATAAGATTTACCAGTGGTTTTGGTAAAAGAGAAATATACTTTTACTCTTATTTAATTGTAGATGCTGAATTATCTGTGCATGTGGGGGTAAACATACAGGCTCACTTCTGTAATAGTGCAACAGATTTTGTATTAAAAATAAATGTGGTTTTAAAATTTCTGTTTGTTCTGTTTACACCAGCAGTAAAAATCACATCTGATTCAGTGTGTAATTAAGAATTCAAGGTGGAAAAAAGCCTGAAACAGCTCTGGCAGAAGTTGTTCCCATGATGTTATAGGACTTTATGTACCGCAGTTGTATATCTTTATATGCTACCGTTCGAAAAAATGCGAATTTGTCCGCCCATTTCCCATTGAAATCTCCTGCTATTTACATTTTACATCCACGGCTGCTTTATTTAGCCATATTTCTGCAAAAAAAAAAAAAAAAAAAAAAAAAGAAACAGCCATGTTCCATACCTGCGTGAGTGAATAAGAGAAAATAAAAATGTTTGTTTGAAATTAAGAGCCCTCAGATAGGATCCCAAATCAGGATTTTGTGTCCTAAAGGAATTATCTGACATGCAAAATTCTAGGCGTCTGTTTTTAAACTACATGAAGTGAGGAAATTTTAAATAACATCTTTTGCAGTACACAAAATCCATTGCAATGCTCTTTTCATCTCTTGTCTCTTCTGTGTATGAATGGGAACAGACTGGGCAGGAGGGCAGCTGCTCTGCAGAGAAGACTGCAGGAGAGCCGTGGATTCCAAGAGATACAGGTGCTTCAGGAGATTCATCAGAAAGTTGATGTTTGGCTTGAAAGAGGGATTTTATCACTGAATCAGCATCTGTTCTGTCAGCCCTCCTGGGTGTAACTGGAACCCCCTGGCTGTTCCAGCTTCCTTCGTCTGCATAGTTTCAGTTGTGGCACCTTCAGAGATTGGGCTGCCTGTTTTTCTGTCCAGGTATCTGTTGTTTTTTCCAGCAATGTGCATTGACTGGGAGATACAAAAATTCCTGAAAAGAGGGGTCTGAGTTCCCCAGGCTTTGTTGGGACAAAAGATTTCGTACGATAACCGTTTTTTGGAGACACACATACGTTCTTTGTGCATGTTCCCCACAGTGTACTAATACGTATAGTTGCTACGCTTTCCTTTTAGTGATATACCTTTACTTTTGGTTTTATTCTCACTGAAGTGATTGTATAAATCCAGAGGGAATTAAAGAGGATACCGCAATGGTAATTTTTCCTGCAATCTTCTCGCATTATTCCTAGTAAAATACAGTTTCCTTGTGGCTCCACGTAGCAGAGGCAAAGTGGCAAAAGACTGGGGCACCAAATTCTCTTCATATGCCGTCTGGCCCATTTTAAGACAGAACCTGTAGAAATCATATAGGAAGAAATACTGCCTACGGTGTGAAAGTGTTTTCTTCTCTGAAAGAAGAATTGGGGAGAAAAGCAGGAAGAGGATGAGCTCAATAATTTCTGAAAAGTAATTGTCCTTCGTTGGGTTTCTGTCTCCCTCCCTCTCTCAGTCTTCCCCCTCCCACTTCCTTAGGGGAGAGCATTTCAGAGAGATGGCAGAAGCAGCAACTGGTATCAGGGGAAGATGGAAATAACTGAACGTGCTACTTGTAGGAATATACCCCCCAGTGATGCCCCCTGAGGTGCAAGTAAATCCAACTGGCCATCATTTTTTAATCTCTGAAGGGATCTCTTGCTGCTCTTTGTACACACAAAGTGGAAACTTTAGACCAAACTGTCAAGATAAATAGATGTCAACAGGACTTTGACAGACAGTAGACGTGATCCATCATGACTGTAAGCAAGGAGGAAAACTGCAATCCTCACGATCTCACAACTTTCGGCAACAAAAATAAATAGACACAAAGTTCCTCACTGTGCTCATATGTAAATGAGCTGATAGAAAATTCAGATCATATTTAATATCTGAAAGATGGATCCTTCATCTGGGGTTGGAGAAGTTTGCGCAACTGTGAATTTGGCAGCACTGGCTTTGTCCCCCAGGGAATCCCGATGAGATAGAATCGAAGGCAGCTTGCAAGTAATGGGTTTGCATATGTTACAAGTTGGAGAGTGAGGCAGGGCAGGAGACGGCTCCTGTCACCGGGACCCAGCCAGCCCTTCGACCTGTTGTCCCTTACCCTGAGCTGCTCGGGTAAAATAAAGACGTACATAAGACAGTGTGGTTTCCCCATCAGCTGAGAAAAGCCCCATGGCATCACATCAAAAATCTAAGCCGCTACTGTAAATTGGATTTCATTCTGCCTGGCTTTCCATTACATTTTGGATACAAGTGAAGGGGGGCAAAAATACCTGGTCCCCAGCCTGCCGCGTTGTACAAATACATGTGCCCAGGGTTTCAGACCTGAGCCTTCAAACAGGAAAAGTTCAGACAGTCTAATTCTGGTGCCTGACTTCTCAAAATTTGCTAGGTCTTGTGTTGCATTAAGGGGTGAGCTGCATTTGCCTCTGACAGTAAACTATACTTGATATGTATCTTCTGGAGGGTGCTGCCCTTTTTCCCAGTCCAAAGGCCTCCAAAGAGGAATCCTTTGGTCTTGAAACCCAGCATCTTATCCAACAGAGGGTAGCAGCCCACTCCATGCGATGCTCTGCCTTGTGTTTGCAAAGATCTAGAGGGCTTCAAGACTTCGTAGGACTAAGGGGACAAATTAGGTTTTCTAAATGGCAGTATTCAGAATATATTCCAAGTAGATGATCTGCAATATATGTGCTGTGGTGAGAAAGGCCTTACAGTCACGCTGGCATCAAAAGTTAACCTGTCTGGTGTGATAAGAAGAAAAGGAAGTGAAAATGAAACTCTTGGGACAGAGAAAATGACAGAACAGTTGGGATTTCTTGTAAAGATTTGAGAAACAGCCAGTAAGATAGCTGGCCTGAAGGGGAAAAGGAGAAAAGCAGCCAAAGGCTACTTTACCCACCAAAGAGGCAGTAGGAGCCCTTGGTACAACCCCCAGGTGTAGACCAGATTATTTGTTGTTGACATCAGCATATACTAGATTAATAGTACGCCATTCTCCTTCCAGAGAATTTTATGTTGTTTTTTTTCCCCTATTTATCCAGCTACTGTTTCAAGAGACTTAGAAAGACTTACTAATCTTAGAAACTTCTGTCAAACTCAACTGAAAATTGCCAGTAGGTTTGTAGGTTTGGGGTTGGGGAAATACTCGGGCAGATAGACGAACAAACACACAAAGCAGTTGCTTTTATGTCCTTACTTTTTGATGCAAGCTAAAACTTATCTCCTGGGAAGCAACTGCTTTCTGTAACTATAGGGCAAGGCCAGCTGAAGAGACCCTTTTCCCTTTGCTTGGGAGTTTTGACTAGTGTTGTTCCAGTAAGTTGAAGAAAGTGGGTGTTTTCCAAGCTCTGTTGAGATTAAGATGATACAAGGGAGCCATACAAACTGGTAAATGAAGAACCTGCAAAATGAGGACTCCAAACCTAGAATAAGAAAATCAATGTTTT